ACAATAAATGTTTTGCTGCTTCTTACTTTCCTGCTTCTGGGTAATTCTCTTCTGTAGTTCCAATGTTTAAAAACCCAAGCAAACGGCATTTTATTCTACGGCTTTTGGGCAAATACTAGGGGATCTAATCAACTCTCATTTAGTTAAGCATATCACATCGCAGGGTCTTCCTTCAGATAAGCAATGTGACTTTCGCTTCTCTAGGTGAGCCCAAAATGCGATTTGCAGGTCGGGAACACTAGAATCAAGCAGACTCAGAAGTTTAAATATCTGGGAAGCATCTTGACAGAGAACGGTAAGTGCGACACTGAGATCCGTAGACGTATTGAGATGGCCAAGGATAAAAGATGGGCAGAGTATTGCGAGACAGGAGGATTTCCTTAGTAACAAAGAAAAGAATACTGAGCTGTTACGTGACATCTGTCCTTCTTTACAGCAGAGACTGTTGGACAATTTCTTTAAAGATGAAGAAGAGACTCGAAGCGACAGAAATGGTTTTACAAAAGGATGCTAAGGATATCATGGACCAGGCGTATGAGCAACGAGAGGTTACAAACAAGGAGGAGGCTTATACTCAACATCGGAAAGAGGGAGTTGAAGTTTCTGGGACACATACTGAGGAAGGAGGGCCTGGAGAATCTGATACTCAGAGGTCGAATAGAGGGAAAGAGAGACAAGGGAAAACAACGCATGACATACCTAGTAGGTTTAAGCAAGTGGATGAAAGAACGTGGTCTGGGAATGGTGGCAGAGGGAAGGAACTTGTTGAGAGCCTCAAGGGATAGAGGGACAAGGGGAGAGCCATGATCGCCTACGTCCTGAAGGGACATATCACATAAAAAGAAATAATAACGATTATATTTAAAACAATATATCAAGCTTTGCTAAGAATGGTGAAGCTAGGGTTGTTGTTTTGGATACCTCAAAGGCATTTGACAGGGCTTGGTGTGTTGGTCTTCTTCACAAGTTGAAAGGTTATGGTATCTGATTCAATAATCCTTATCGAATCACAAAATGAAAGTTGTCTTGAACGGCCACTCTTCTAGATCTTTTTTCATCAATGAACGTATCCTCCAAGGCTCTGTCCTTGGACATCCGTTGTTCGCAATTTTTATCAACCACCTTCATGATGTCATCACTTCTCAACACAGTACCCATGCTGATTATATAGACACGTGGTTAGAATGTTCGCTTTCTTATCATGAGAATGGGGTTCGACTCTCACCATGGTCGGTTTGTCAGGAAAGAAGATACCTGATGTTATCAGACTGGAGGGGTCGATCCTAACGTGCCTGAAAACTATACTACAAGTTGATCCAAGCCTTGTCAGTGAAACTGCGTAGACGGAACCTTGGGTGACGTTGATAGCCGTGTTAGCACGAAGTCACAAGTCTTCGTGGCTGAGGGCTTGAGCGTGCTGGCCTTGTTCAAATTGTTGATCACGCTAGATAACACGCTCTTTCCCAGAAATTGTAATGAAGGTCTGCTCGGTATAGTTACAGTATAAACCACAGATACGGTCTGAGGGTGTTGAATAAACACAAAATGCGCCTGAGCAAGCGCTGCAGTAAGGATTGGCTATCCTTGAATACGAGTGGCCAGCAATACCTATGATGTAGTACTGACATCACTAGTCTATTGTGCAGAATCTTGGATTCTGTACCGACAACGTATCAGTCAACTTGATGTCTTCCACATGCATTGTCTACGTACGATTTGCAATAGAAAACTGAGTAATCGCATCAGTTCCACTGAGGTTCTAAATGCAACATGACTGCTTATTGAAGTCATTCCAATGAAAATCCAACTCAGGTTGACAGGACATATTTCTAATATGAACGATAGCAGACTTTCCAAAACTACTTCCCTTTGGGCAGCTTCTAACAAGCAGGTCAGTTGGAAGGCCACTCTTGCATTACAAATTCAAATTCAAAGACAATCTGTAGCATCATCTTTTCTTAATGGGTAAACAAAGCGTCAGAGTGAAGGAGCTGGGCGCCTGTCCTGCTTCTCGTCTATACAAAGGTCTGAGCGAGACCGACTTGAACATCGGGATCAACTGTGTGCAAATATTGAACTAAAGTTGGGAGCATGCTGCTCCTCTCAGTGATAACGTTACCACCGTGGTTTTGTCGCACACAGTAAACCAGGCTTTGCTGTCCACTCGCAGAAACATGTGGCAGTTGTTATATATATATATATATATATATATATATATATATAATTATGTATGTATGTATATATATATATATATATATATAATTATGTATATATATATATATATATATATAATTATCTATGTATATATATACAATATATATATATATATATGTATATATATATATATATAATATATATATATACATACATTATTATATGTATATATATATATATATATATATATATATATATATATATATAATTATGGAAGCTGAGACTTTAAAAACCCATGGTAATAATTTATTTCTATTTCAAGATACCTCTCTAGATAGACATGTCTCTCTTTTTCTCCCTCCTATTTAATCCTGTCTTAATAGTAAGTCCGATCGGTATGATAAGGTCAAAGAATCTAAAAAATAACCTACAGTCTGTTGTTAACCAAGGCAAGGAATGGCGTGTTAATTTAAACGCTTTCAAAACGAAATGTCTCACTTTTAATCGTTTGAGAGACCCCCTTTTTGCATTGATCTTCATAGCTGATGTTAAACTACATGAGAGCGATTAATTCACCCTACTTGACCTAACGCTTTGCGCTGACATCAATTAAAAAGATTATATTGAGTCAATTCCTTGGCTCAGTGCAACTTACACAGTCTACCTTTCGTACATGCATTGAATATTGCGGTCCCATCTGATTTCGTGCTCGTGCTATCTATTTAGAGATTTTAGATAAATTCTAAAGAAGAATCTGCAATATTATTGGTCCTGACCTGGCATCTGCGTTTCAGTCATTTTCCAACTGCCCTCACGTAGCTTTCTTGTGCCTTTTCTATAAATATTTTCATGATAATTGTTCTGAACAACTTTCCTCTGTGCTACCTAGATTTTATGAATTTAAACACAGTACTAAGTAAAAATAAAAACTTATGTAATATATTAATTTATAAATAATAAATGAAATAAATTAATCCAAATGAATAAATAAATTAAGTAAATGATACACAAATTAATTAACCACGAACGCGCATATAAACAAAAGGAAACGTAATAATAACAACTAAAAATTAAATAATCTTACTTATTATAAAACGCAGATTGTGTGTGTGTATGCGTGTGCGTATGTGTGTGTATGTGTGTGTGTCTGTACGTTTATATATTGGATCGGATTTTCTACATTTTTCAACCGATTTCAACAAAACTTCACAGGACTGCGTAAAATTACCTTGCGGTTGTTCTGACAGCGCCAAAAATTGGAAAAACATTTGTTTTTGCACGAAATCAATTTGAAAACACAATAAAACACGATTCTGTCGGCAGAATGAACGAGAGACAACTCATATCAAGTTATACTTATTATAAAACCCAGGTTGTTTGTTTGTTTGTTTGTGTGTGTGTGTTTTCGTTTATATATGGGATCGGATTTCCTACATTTTTCAACCGATTTCAACAAAACTTTTTTGACAGGTAGTGTTTCTTATTATCTTGCATACTTTTTTCTTTATTTTTACATTCAGAATGCTTTAAAAATTCTATTTACAAGACAATTGTTTATAATAAAATTGTATTCAATCGATAGACTCATAACGATTGAAAACAATGTTTTTGTTTGAGTTTGGGTCTGACCAATTCCTAAAAAAAAAAAAAAGGAAAAAAAAAACTAATTAAGACATGCATGTTCGTTAACCTTAAACAATAATCTTTGTCAATTTTATTTTTCAGTCTTTATGATGGTCGATACTTGATCTATCTCTTACTGTTACATCCCCGGGCAACGCCGGGTTCTACTGCTAGTCAGTAATAAAGAAGAGCAATTAACAAACAACACTATATAAGGCGCCAAAACTGCATCTGGATTCACAATTATTTCCTCTCAATAGCTTCTAGGATAATTCGAAAAATAACCGTTACTGCCAACCAAAATAACCGTTAGAACAATAGTACTCGCAAGGCATCACTAACCTCTCTCTCTCTCTCTCTACGTACACACACACACACACACACACACACACACACACACATATATATATATATATATATATATGTATGTATGTATGTATATATAAGCGAACAAAAACACAACATATATAGCCTGCTGATTGCGTTTAAGCATGAAATAAACTCTCGCCTCTGGGTGTTGACTTCAGTGTCCACTTTTATATTTACATACGCTCTATCTCTTTAACCCATAAACGGGTATAGCATACCTTAAAGTATATTTTATATATATATATATATATACATACATATATATATATATATATATATATATATATATATATATATATATATATATATATATATATATATATATATATATATATATAAAGATAAAATATACTTTTATATAAATATAATGAATGGAGCATTTTGGCTGATTGGCATTTGTTTACATTCGCCAAAACAATACACTAGATTTAGCTGCTTCATTCTGTCAAATGAAGATAGCTCAGTGGTAGAAACTCTGACTGACACCAAACTGGTTGAGTTTCAATCCTAGCTTGAGGCATTTGTATGTCTAGTCGCACTGGGAAGCTGTGATGCAGCGAAACAGTACTGTCCGCGAATTGCATGTCGAATATAATGTGCAATTCAAGGCATTTTGGTTTGGCTGAGAATTGTTCGGCAATTCTGTGGATGAACAAATAGCTTCATCGTGTCATTCGCGTACAGCGTGTGTAGTGGTTAACGAACTGACATTTGATAGATAAGTGAGTTTGATTCTCACTAGGTGCTGTAATTTGCAACCTTATGCCTGACTAGGCTAAGTTTAATAAATAGTTTTCGTTGTCATTGTCACAAAATTAAAAGAAAAAAAGAATGATTGTGTTCGACAACACGCTATGTTTCTCAAACTCCTAAACTGTAAACCGTGAGAAAAATGAAATGAATTTTGCTGTTTTTTTTAAGTTGAAAAGAGAAAAGCGATTGAATCGCTTATCTTCGATTCGTTCTGTGCGTCTTCGAATCGTGACGATGAAACATCACATGACTTAAGGCGGTTACGACTAAAAAGTAATGATGAAAGGAAGGAAAGACTGACAGAAAAAAAAGCATAACGAAGAAAGGAGGGAAACTCTATGATAGAAGCAGAGATAGGAAAGTAGAATTTGAAGTGGAAAGATGTTCTCAGGTCAAAATGAATGTAAAAGTTCAACCGTAAAAGTTATCCAAAACTTGTAATGTTTGTCAATCAGTTTACAAAATGGACAAAAATGCAAAGTGGGTTTGTTTCATTTGATTGGTTAAGAATAAAGAGTTGGAGAGGTTGGAGAGAAGAGCAGTAGGAAGAGGAGGTATGCAATGAATGTTTCTCAGTTTGACGCACAATTACGCACTTATGATGCCAACGTTATAAGCACACACAAACAAATATATTTTTTCATGATAACTAATTAGCATATATATATATATATATATATATATATATATATATATATATATATATATATATATATATATATATAGGTGTCCCAAAATAATGTATACACTCTTTGAATCATTATAACTTATTCAATTTATATTTTGACTTGTAAATAAGATTAATACAAGAGAAAGAATACACATTTAAAGAATTTGAGCGTAAAATATACAAAACATCGAAAATTAACTTTAATAAGATAAAAGTTACTTTGGGCAATGGCAGAATGTTCATATAATGATGAGTTCACATCGAGCGATCAAAATGGTTGCCGTTCTGTTCAATACACATATCATATCTTGAAGAAATAGACCTACAAACGTCTAGTATCATTTCCTCTGATATTTGAGCAAATTCTTCTTCAATTGCTACTCTCATTTCAGTAATTGTTTCAGGTTTCCTGCTGTAAACTTTGACTTTTAGACCCCCCCCTAAAAAAAAAGAAATCCAAGGGTGTCAAATCTGATGATCTAAGTGGGTATTCAACTGTCCCTCTTCTTCCAATCCATCTGTTTTGTATATTTTCATCTATATAAGTTCTCACATTATGCTAATGTATTAAGTATTAATATTTAAAGAGTGTATACATTATTTGAGGACACCCTATATATATATATATATATATATATATATATATATATATATATATATATATATATATATATATATATATATATATATTAGTGGTAAATATACACATACATATATATTTGTATAAAAAAAAAAATATTCCAAGAGGATAGAATCCAGGTATAACTCAATGTCCAGGACAAAGTAAGGATATATTAAAAAAAACCTTAAACACTAATATTCCATGGTCATAATTTATTCCATGGAATATTAGTGTTTAAGCCTTTTTTATTATATATATATATATATATATATATATATATATAAACCTAAAGAGCCAGATAAACCTACCAATGTTTCACTTACGTGGATCGTAAGGGAATACTGGATAAAGAGGTAATGTAAGAACGGAATATATAAACACAAAACCATAACCACGTGACCAAACCAAAAGAAAGCGAAAAAAAAATATAAATAAATAAAGAAATAACGCAACAACGGGAGGGGGGTAAATATTTATTCAAAATAAAATTAAAGAAAAAAAAACGAAAAAGAGGGGACACAACCTAATCTAGTAACCAACGTTTTCTATGCCGACATTTACTTAGGTATTCAGTTTTTAAATTTAGTATATGATCAGGTTCTTTGTATAAAGCGATTGCTAATTTTTCATCTAGACATACAGGACAAACTTTGTTACCTGCTCTATATTTAGGACATCTTTTTAATATTTCCCATTTCAAAACGGGGTCCTCTTTATAGTCATGTTTAACTCGTATCGGGTTTTTTTTGTCTTTGGACTCTGAACTGGAATGCTTGACGACTGTCTTCGGCTGACGTACATGTTCTCTGTTCTTTCTTTTTTTGTACCTTTTTTCCCCCTTGGGTATTGGTCTGTTTATTTACATATCAAAGTCTGTTTATTTACATATCAAAGTTTTCCGGACGAGTTTAATTTCTTATATTTATAAGATAATTACATATACCTACGTTGGAAGTGCAACCAGTTGGTAGAACAACGAAACTTTATGTTACACTTCGAAAGTAGGTATATGTATATTTATTAATATATACTTCTTAGCTCTGTCTAACCACATTAGGCACTGTTTGGTTCACACCTTAAATCGAGTAAATATATATTTATTCGCTTACCTGTATAGAACGCACGTATATACGGTTGCTCATATGCAGTTATTTGATTTATCTACACACACACACACACACACACACACACACACACACACACACACACACACACACACACACACACATTATATTAATTAATATATATATATATTAATACATATATATAATAATACATAATTAATACATATATATATATTAATTAATACATATGTATATATATATATATATATATATATATATATATATATATATATAGAGAGAGAGAGAGAGAGAGAGAGAGAGAGTGATAAAGAAAAGTTTAAAAGAGAGACAGAGATAAAAAAAACACTTATCTTTTCGACTCCAAGTTTTGAAGCTTCACCTGATGAGAATTTTAACTGCGAAACTTGAAGTTGGAAAGATAAGTCCACTTTTGGACATTTCACTATTAACATTGTTGCTATATTTTTAATGTTGAACGTTCGTTGTTACAAAAGCCTGCTCGCCTTTAAAGTGACTAGCCAATCCCTGTCGCAGACACCTGTTCAGGCACATTTGTGTTTGTTCAACACCCACAAATGGAATCTATGGTTTATACCGAAGTTGAACGGACCTTACTTTCAGTTTCTGCGAGAGAGCGCATACTCTGGTATGAAAATCAGTTTGAACAACGCCAATACGCTCAGCTCGTCGGTCACGATGACTTGTGAGTTCGTCCCAGTGCAACCATCGATGAATTCTGAACAGTTCAGTCCATCAAATTTCGTTCACGAGTCTTGTGTTAACCCGCGGTAAGGTTGTCAGGAACTTTTCAGACACCTTCCCAGGAATTCATGTTTGGAAAGAAAACGTTCTAATCACTCGGCCGTGGTGTAAGCCTATACAGATTCATGCATATGTACTTGCATAAATATAAAGATATGAAGCATGGGGTGAAAAGTGGGGTCACAAAAAAAAGGCTGCATCAAATATATCAAAATCCAGAGACTTCTCATACGTACTCGACTGACCATGTATTCAGGGGTGTAGCTGTACTCCACACGCTTGGCCAAACCTATTGAGGGTTAGTGAAGCTATTTAACCTACAACTGTCCTCCTCCAAGAAGTTTGTCCTGCTATTTAATCCATAGCTGGGGGAGAAGCAGCGGATTAATACATTTTCCAAAGATATTTAAACATAAGTGAATGTAACGACTCGACGAGGATTTCGAATCTGAGCCTTTATCCATTACTCCACTCTCTCTCTCTCTTTCTCTCTCTCTCTCTCTCTCTCTCTCTCTATATATATATATATATATATATATATATATATATATACCCAAGTATAAGATTGGTGTATACGGAATAAATTCCAATAACCAACAAATACTATTCTTAAAAGAGTGCTCAATACAGAGTAGAGCAAATATAATTATTTATTCGAAAATTATAACATAAATATGTTATAAAATCACTACATTCTACATTTAACACCATCACTTGATAAGACACCAGAAGTGTTGAAACAAAATGGCTATTTTTGTAGTGATTTTATAACATATTTATCTTATAATTTTCGAAGAAATAATTATATATATATATATATATATATATATATATATATATATATATATATATATATATATGTCACTGCAAAATTATCCAAATCGTGCAACAGCATAATTATTCACCCCATAATATGTTTAATATCTAAAAGACCACTAAACTAATTGAGTTTCTTTTTTCCATGCTTTCAGATAAGACATTTAACCATCTTAACACCATTTTTCGTAAGAATCACTGAAAAAAACCCAAAAACATTTGAGTTGTTCAGCTAAAATGAGAGTCAGTTAAAATTATTTTCTTGTCAGAACTACGGTCTGCTCAATTGAGCAATGGTGAGAGGAAAAAGATCATTCAGGCCTTCAGTAATGCTACCAACATTCATACATTCTCTTCCATCTTACAAATCCATTCAAGGACCATCAAGAGAATGGTGAATAAGTTTAAAAAAACAGAAAGCAGTACAGAGGAAAACTAGATCAGAAAGTAACAACAGGAATAGGGATCATCATTTCAACTTAGACCTAAAGAGATCAATTAGAAAAGATCCAACTCAATTCATAAAATATTTGGTACGGGAGGGAGGTGTTTCAGCTATGAACGTCCAAAGAACAGTGAAAAAAGACTTTAAAATGAAATCTTACGTGAAACCTGTAAGGACTGAAAATTAGAAGGTTAGAGTGGATGAAGATCGTCTTGAATAAGTTAGAAAATGATCCTGAATCATATATATATATATATATATATATATATATATATATATATATATTCGAACTTTATTTCAATGAGTTTCCAGTCCTTAGCTATGATTAATTAATGATGAACATGTCATTTTCGTTTATGATCGATTCCATCACGATTCTTCCGTTAAGCTTGTAGAGTAATTATACATTCTTATTGCTCGAAGTAGTGTCTCGTAGTGTTATTAAAACCTCGGAGAATTCCAGTAAGATATCTTTAATCATTTCTAAGATACAGTGGTTCAAAGTATAATCTAACAATTGGACAATTTTGCTGTTACACGATGTGGACAAGTTTTCTACCCCCCCCATATATATATATATATTTATATATATATATATATATATATATATATATATATATATAGGTACAAATTGATTTGACAGGACATATTTCTAATATGAGCGATAGCAGACTTTCCAAAACTACTACTATTTGGGCAGCTTCTAACAAGCAGTTCAGTTGGAAGGCCACTCTTGCGTTACAAAGTCAAATTCAAAGACAATCTGTAGCATCATCTTTTCTTAATGGGTAAACAAAGCGTCAGAGTGAAGGAGCTGAGCGCCTGTCCTGCTTCTCGTCTATATAAAGGTCTGAGCGAGGCCGACTTGAACATCGGGATCAACTGTGTGCATATATTGAACTAAAGTTGGGAGCATGCTGCTCCTCTCAGTGATAACGTTACCACCATTGGTTTTGTCGCACACAGTAAACGAGGCTTTGCTGTCCACTTGCAGAAACATGTGGCAGTTGTTATATATATATATATATATATATATATATATATATATATATATATATATATATGAAAAGGGAGACTTTAGAAACCAATGGTAATAATTTATTTCGCTTTCTATATCTCTCTCTAGATACACATATCTCTCTTTTTCTCCCTCCTTTCTCTTTCTTCCTTTTTCTTCACCCCCCCATTTTGAATCTATATCTTACAACATAACTTATGTTTAAATATTTCGTTCTGTGCCTGGTAAAATTTAAAATCCATTTATTGTTGAAACTGATTTTGGTCTGATGAGACGAAACCGAAGTATCGGTTTTGCGAAATAAAATATTACCATGGATTTCTAAAGTCTCCGATTTCATAATTAACTTTTGCTCTGTTCTTACATTGAGTTCTCTCTGGATCTATATCCTCTTTGGAATTATCCATACGCATTACCAAATAATATCTATCTATCTATCTATCTATCTATCTATCTATCTATCTACAATAATAATATCATCATCTATATATAACTGTCAAAATGACCAAGGGAATTCCGAGTAGCATGAATCCATCCAGCTCTTATCTCAAATAACAACTTAAAAGAGACTGTTTGACCAATACAAGGACTGACCAAAATTTATATTAAGAAAATAAAAAAAAAATATAAAAAGTCTCAACTACAGACAAAAGTTCATTTTCTCCATCAAGACATTCATTTCTGTAGTTCACTGCTACCAGCAAGCAAATTTTTTTTCTCGGGGTGATGGCCATGTTGGCCGAAACTAGTCGAGGAATCTAAATGAAATAATAATAAAAACGGAAGAATATGCAACCCAGTGTGTCTGAAGTTTTTAATTTTTTAATATTTTTTTTATTGTTCAATATCTCTCTCTCTCTCTCTATCTATCTATCTATCTATCTATCTATCTATCTATCTATCTATCTATCTATATATCAAGTATGTGTGTGCGTGTGTGTCTATGTTTCGCGTGGCCGAGTAAGTAACGTAAATATTTTAACCATGAGACCTGGGTCCGAATCTCACAATGGTCGATTTTTCAGTGAGGTCACCTCTTGATAATATTAACCTGGAAAGACCACCCATACGGCCCTGTTCGGAGGTGGCTGAAAACCTCACCAGGGATTCAAATGTTTGGACCTAACTGTTCCGAAACCATCGATGCTTGTGGCTTCTCACTATGACAAGTCATCGTGACCGAGGGTGTGAACGTTCTGACTTAAAGGTTTATTTGCCTTAATGATGGCAACATCTACTTCGTTTTACGAAGATCTAAACAAACGGCAGCAGTTAATATGAAATAACCTGAATTTCGAAGTAAAACTCTGTAAGAGGAATAAATATCTACGTGTTTCATAATGTGATGCAATACGGACCCTTCCTAAACTGGACAGGAGACGTGTTCAGAAAAATGGACGAGAGGATATTGAAATACTCTTTTATGTTCATATCTTTCATTCGAATTCCTTGAAGTCCCACCTATATATTTTTGTGGCCAGCACTACAAGCTATATTGCAAATTCCTGCTTCAGCTTTAGATTATTTTATTTTGTATTAATTCTCTATTTCTCTTAGAAGTTGTTCTAACAAATATGACGTCATTTACAAAACAGCACACTCAATGCATCAGTTGTTCGTCACCATAAATATTGTTATAATTCTGATTTAACTGGGCTACTTTAATAAAACGATAAAGTAATTCGCTAAGGCAAAAATGTATAGAAAGTGCACTGATTTCTAAATTTTCCATGGTATGTTTGCTTTCGTGTTCTAACACCGTTTCACTTTTCTTAAATCTTCTGCTGGCACAGCGTAGGATATTAAAAAAAAAACAGTGGTATAAAGAAAATCAGAAGCTTTGGAAAACATAATTAGATCTGCTAAAATGTACGTCTAGACACGTCGGACACCAGAAATTTTGAAATATAAAATTTAAAAGCGTTTCTGTACGTTCAGCGTTTCCTCTTGATGCAGAATGAAAAACTGGCTTTACTTTTATATTCCCTTACTATATATATATATATATATATATATATATATATATATATATATATATATATGTGTGTGTGTGTGTATATGTATAATTCCATTATCATATATATATATATATATATATATATATATATATAATTCCATTATCACTAGCATTGCTAGCTTATATAGAACTTTATATATCATATTTCTCCATAGAAAAATAACAATGGCAAGAGTGATAATGAGAACAGAATCGGTTTTAGTCACGTGATATTTTCTCTCTTATGTGCCATGTCCGTTCAGGACATGGTGGTTTATGGCGGGCCACAATATCATATTTTTGTAGCCGTAAGAAATTTGGCTTCTTACTGATCCTCACTCTCCATTGCTATTCATTTACACAAGCTCATTAATTTGGTTGATCATAGCTCTTCACAATTTCCTATCTTTTTAACTCTAAGCAATATTCGTCCCTAAACGATACCTCCCATTGTGTCATCCAGTTAAATAAAATCGTCAGGTAGGTTACTTACTGTCTCCCTTTTTCTCTCTTGCCTTCAGTATATCCTGTGAGTATCAATGTCTCCCTTTGTCTCTCTTGCCTTCAGCATGTCCTGTGAGTATCAATGTCTCCCTTTGTCTCTCTTGCCTTCAGCATGTCCTGTGAGTATCAATGTCTCCCTTTTTTTCTCTTGCCTTCAGCATGTCCTGTGAGTATCAATGTCCCCTTTTTTCTCTCTTGTCTTCGACATGTCCTGTGAGTATCAATGTCTCCCTTTGTCTCTCTTGCCTTCAGCATGTCCTGTGAGTATCAATGTCTCCCTTTGTTTCTCTTGCCTTCAGCATGTCCTGTGAGTATCAATGTCCCCTTTTTTCTCTCTTGTCTTCGACATGTCCTGTGAGTATCAATGTCTCCCTTTGTCTCTTGCGTTCAGCATGTCCTGTGAGTATCAATGTCTCCCTTTGTCTCTCTTGCCTTCAGCATGTCCTTTGAGTGTCAATGTCTCCACAGCTATCCTTTCTCAATATGCGTCCTAGAGATTTCAACTCTCAAATTCTTGATTTTCTAAGTATAAATGTTTTTTTTTTGTTTTCATTTTCTTTAAAACCTCATTCTTGCTTATATTCCCCTACTATGGTATTCCCCGTATTCATCTGTACAGCCATATATCGGTTGCCTTAGCATGAAAAATGCACATATAAAATCGACCATTAAGGCAACAATATAAGTAAAATTATTAAGAATGACAAAGAAATGAATAAACTGGATTTTAAGCAAAAACCACGAGATATTAGATCGTAACAATAACTACACTTAAATTGGTAAATATGTCGCGCATTCAACCTCCCTTGCAAAGATATATTAATGAGAACAAAAGCCATCACAGGGTGTACAGAATGATGAAGTTATCATCCTTTGTTCAGACTCATGGAACAACATTTGGGAAATGTATGAATCCACTGCTTCTCCCCCAGCTATGGGTTAAATAGCAGGGCAGACGACTCGCGCTATCGTTTATATTTACTAGAGCCAGATCATGTTTAAATTGGAGTACTGTTGTCATATTTGGATGGGAGTTGCCCAGTCCTTACTTCCAGTCTCAATATAGCCCAAATGCACCTCAGAACCACTGTAGGTGATAAATTACTACTCACCTTCCATTCTCTCTCTCTCTCTCTCTCTCTCTCTCTCTCTCTCACAAGCCCCTATCCCTACTTCCATAGCAAGTGTTCAGGGGAACAACATTTCTTGGTTCCGCCCGTTCTACCCATCACGACCAGGAGCCGCCATGACACTCACAATTTAGCAAATCACCCACATTCCCTCCGAAGTCCGTTGGTGAGAAGTACGTTCCGCTGGAACAGTTTTTTCTCGCGAACCACTGCTCTGTGTAACCGATTTCTAAGAGGATATTTCCTTAAACTGTTCAAGTTTAGGGTTAACTGGTGTCTTCCGCTCCTATTCGCATAAACTACCTCTCGAGTAGTCTCCGGACCTTATACAGGGGAAGCCTCACTCTTAAAAAAAGAAGAAAAAAAAGAAGAAAAAAAAAAAGAAGAAATCAAAGCATATCGTCCAAAGATCATTGTGAAAAATTATGTTGAAAAAACAACTGATAGATTTTGTTGCTCCATCAAACAAAATTCACATCTTTGAAAAGTAAAAACAAAGACCTTGAGATCGAAGTTCATAGAATATGGCATCTCAGGACAACATTGCCTGTTTTTATTAGGGCTTTGATAATGATATCAAAAAGGGCAAACAAATATATCGATCAAGTTCCTAGTCGTCCAGAAAGATATGAATTGCAAGTAATCATTTCCAAGATTACGTCTCCGATCTTAGAACGGTAGATTTCTGTCCATACAGTGACCACAGTACACTTTTTTTCTTCTTTCTGATTGCATCGGACCTCATCTCTTTGTATCTTCAAATTAAAAAAAAACAAACAAAAAACAAAAAAAAAACTTGTTGTCTCTTGAAGTCTCTAGCTGAGACTAGATAGTACCCCGTACTACACAAAGCAAAGACAAAACACAACAACGGCAACACTAATATTATGTGCGTTTACGGCGACAGCAGGGAAAGACGCCTGTGTAAATCCAATGCATAATCGATTGTGGCTTGTGCGTAATTTGTCATGACATTTATAGAACTCATTTTGCAGAGCTGTAAGTCCACGCAATATGACGATATATACCGAAACACCGGCAAAGTGTAAGATGACGAACCTTGCGGAAGGAGACAGATGGCGTCCCTCATTGGCAACAAGTAATGCGGACGACGAAAGATTTTGGCGGGAAGCCATCTCACGATCGTTAGGCATGGCTATGAATTTCAATACTACGAAGTTAGTATTTTTGCGCACGTACCCCTATATATATATATATATATATATATATATATATATATATATATATAGTATGTGTATATAAACAGGTGTACGATACGATTGACTTTCTTGCTTGCGCCCATATATAGGTGTAAGCTTATACATTTATGTATACATAAACTTATGAACATGGATAATATACACATACATGCAGACACACACAGCATTTAGTGCACACACACACATACACATATATATATGTGCGTGAAATGTATATGTATACAAATATAAATATATATATATGCAATTTTTTATGTATATTATTCATATATTATACATGCTCGGTATTTATTGGGAAGCGCTCAATATCAGTGATAGAGCTAACATTTAGTTGGATTGATGTGAGTTTGTGACCCTGGGTTTCACGCTATTTGCAATCGTCAGACGAACTGATTTGTGTAAAATACATACACGCACGTACAATCATTCGTACACCCTGCGTACGTCAATGAGTGTACGGGCGTGTATGTATGTTTGCGTAAGTATGAGTGGCGTTCTGGCGACAATTTTTCCACCCACTTCCATAAAAAACATCGATATACGCAACCATATATAAATCCAAAATTTTAAAATTAATCAGTTTGTCTGACGATAGCAAATAGCGTGAAACCCAGGGTCAAAACTCACATCAATCCAACTAAATATATATATATATATATATATATATATATATATATATATATATTTAATCGGATTTAGGCTGTAAACTCACTAAGACACAGAAGGTTACTGGGTGAAAGAATTATAAAGCAGAAACATTACTAAGGAGCAGGTGCAATAGGAGAGTAATCAGGAAGTCAGTAAATAGCGATTGGCATGGCGTTTAAATTTTTGAAGATTAATGCTGACTGGAAAGCATGGAGCCGAAAGAGAGTTCCACAAGCGAGAAGTGCGAGTAACTGTAGCATAGAGCTTACAGTTACATTTAGCCAATTCGACTGTAAATTGATGAGAGCTTGTTTTTAATGGAGTACTGCGCTTAAATTATTAAAGTCTTGGTTTATTACCATGAAAGCATTTATAGAAAAGCATGTACAAAAGTAACAGGATATATTTCCTAACGAAATACGTCTATAGTTGTAACTACTATTTTCCCTTTGATTTAAATTAAATTTAAATTTGAACAAGGTAATGACTCCTATCCAAAATATAGAAGGAGAAAGCCAGAACATGGAGGTCACATCGGCATGATCAAAATGATACAATATTGGCATTAACTTGAGAAAGAAATCACCAATCAGTGGGTAGTGTCTTACAATATATATTTGTTGCGACAATTTAACTGTCATATCAATGTTGAAATCTACTCATCAATTCATTCAATCAAGTATTGCATCAAATACATATCAAAGCGGTCAGATCAAGCTGTTTTTGCAGACCCGCACCAAAAAGGGAATGAATCCTGTCCAAAATATAGAAGGCGAAAGCCAGAAGATGGAGGTCACATCAGCTAGATCATTGAGTAATATTGAAATGCTTCATTTTTTATCCACAAATTTATGATTTAAAATTAGTGTGACACGCAGCAAGGAGCGTGTAATTTGGCTAGTATATATATATATATATATATATATATATATATATATATATATATTATGAATATACATATCCCAGACTGTTTAGATTGCTTCGGAGTTTCATGCCAAACGCAATCTTCAGGTGCTATTGCGTTTCACATGAAACTCCGAGTAGTATAACATTGAGCGCTGTTGCTATGACACCAGCACTTTGTGTTTAATTCATATATTTACTTTACACACACACAAACACACGTATATATATATATATATATATATGTGTGTGTATATATATATATATATATATATATATATATATAGAGAGAGAGAGAGAGAGAGCCTATAAAGGGTTGACTTCAATGTTCACTTTTATATTTATACACGCTCTATCTCTGATATTGAGCACTTCATCCCATAGATATAGCACACCTTAAGAATATATATATATATATATATATATATATATATATAATAAAAAGGCTTAAACAGTAATAACCTTTTTTTTGTAAGCGTTTCACCCCAAGCAAGGCGGAAAGCCACTAGGACGCATGGGGTTACAGAAAATTTGCCGCAAGATCAGATAGGAGTGATAGAAGAAAGGATGAGGAGAAGGGTAGTGGATAGATCAAGGCAACTGGAGATGTTGATTGACATTACATTTGAATAGCTGGATATTATAGCTCTCTGAGAAACTGGAATAGGGAAGGGAGTTCCACAGGCGCGGCTCAGGGAGCCAACTTTCCCTGTGGTGGACGAAGCAATTGACTCAATGTATTGGTTTCATCTCAGGTCAGCCGTCAACGAGAGACTGAGCAACCACAGAGAGGTGCTCTCGAGAAATTGAGCGTCAGACATTCTAATGGAGGGCAGGGAAGGATCTCTATGGTGATTAATAGAAAGGAGTTTTGTTTTTGAAGCATTAAAGTTGACCAGCCAATTCCTGTCCCAGTTCACAACCGATTGGAGGTCCTTTTCGAGACGCACGGTCAGGTTAGTTTTGTCTCGAAAAGGACCTCCAATCGGAATATTAGTGTTTAAGCCTTTTTATTATATCCTTACTCTGTCCTGGACATTGAGTTCTACCTGGATTCTATCCTCTTGGAATTATTTTTTATACAAATATATATGTATGTGTATGTATGTATGTATATATATTTATATATTTTGCATATGTATGTGTATATTTACCGGTAATATTATATATATATATATATATATTACTTACAACGTTATATTTAGTTTATACATTTGTTTGAGTAAACTTCCTTGTTTTTTAAATTTACCTATCTCTTTCGCTTTTCCTCTCTCTGTCTCTCCATTTTTATATGTGTGGCTGTGCATTTGTCTTTACGATGGATGTGCGTGTGGTGTCAGAGGCTTACAACAGGCAATCGGCGAGCCGAGTTCGAATTGCAATCATTCGTTATACGTCATTTTCGATTCAACGCATATATCCAGATCTTCTCCCTCCATCTAAGGATTAAATAGTATTGCAGATAGGTATTTTCTGCCTTGGTTGGCAGCCGATCTAAGAGAAGGAAAACCTTGAATTCACTAACTCGGGTAGATAGAAATCTAGATTGGTGGAGAAAGACAAGTCAGTTAGGCCTGGAGGTAGCATTTCCACCCGTGTAACTCCAAACCTGAAACCGCAATAGCAACACCTACATGGGTGAGGCTGTGACGGTATCCTACGAAAGGTAGTCTGCGGAGTAAAAGAAAGAAAGAAAACCTTTAGATGCCACCGAATTGACTCTTTGACGCACAATCTAGCAATTCTTAACCTCGTAGAATTTTGTAGCGATTATAGTTTTTCTAACACCTTGATATAAATCACAGAATTAAACATTGGCTTTTTCTCTTATTCCATATTTGTTTCTTATGAGTCGCACATAAAACCCGGTATTTATTTGAATATCTAAAGTATACAGGCTTTTGTGCATGCTTTCTTTTTCCTGTCATTTGGTTGTCTTTGAATTCATGCATAAGCAAACACCCATGATTTGACAATCGCAGTATGCATGCGTAAGACCCCCTTATACTGACGCGCGCGCCAAAGGAGGAATGAGCCAATGTAGAAAACGTCATACTCGTGGTCATATTGATTAACACAATCATTTCTGCTGTTCCAACGCATACTATCTTCTAGAGTCGTATCTCATCTCGACGCACACTCGCTTAGATTCGGTAGTCAAAAGCATCCAGATTCACGCGCATTATATGTAAACGTTTGCAATTCAATTACCAAGAAATTCGACTCTCATGTCAGTAAGGCACAAAATATCGATATTCGCTATGATAAGAACAGAAAGAAGAAATAAAAAAAAAATCGTGTCCCTTCGAACTTGTTTGCCTTCATTTCATGTTCCTTTCTTATTTCATGTTCCTTTTTATCACTCACTTTCTTTTTTTAACATTTCCTTTCTTTCTTTCTTTCTTTCTTTCTCTTAGTTTTTGTCTTTGTTTAACGTTTTCTTTTTTCTTTTTTTCTTAAACTCATTTCTTTCTTTTTTAACATGTTATTTTACTTTTAATATCGTTTCTTTCTTTCTTAAACAAAATTTCCTTTTCCTTTAAAATTTCATTTTTTCTTTAACATTTCTTTCTTTCTTTCTTAAACCTAGCTTCCGTTTTCCTTAAAGTTTCTTTCTTTTTTCTTTCTTTCTTTCTTACACCCAGCTTCCTCTTTCTTTCTTTCTTTCTTTCTTTCTTTCTTTCTTTCTTTCTTTCTTTCTTTCTTTCTTAAACCTCCATTCTTTCTTTTTTAACTGTTTCTTTATTTTTTAATATCGCTTCTTTCTTTCGTTCTTTCTTTCTATTAAGGTCAGACTATTCTTCAGCCGAATTCTTTCTTTCTAAGACCCATTTTCTTTCTTTTTAAACATTTCCTTTTTCTTTTTATATCCTTTCTTTCTTTCTTTCTTTCTTTCTTTCTTTCTTTCTTTCTTCATAAGCATTGACCCAGGAGGAAATGAATGACGGCTGATATCGAACGCATGATGATTATCAATATTAAATTACTTCTACAATCACAAAAAAGATAACGATCGCTTCGCTTTGACAGTGGCACGAGCGCCCCGATTTGATTCATTAATTTTTATATTTATTTGTAGACAATGCAAATAATACGAGCAGTAATTACCAAAAATCATCAACATCATCATCGTCAACATCAATATCATTATCATATACACGAACAGGAAAACCTGAAAAGCACCCCAAAATAATTGATATAGAAATCAACGCACACACACCCTCAGTCTAACTATTTTCATAATGTTCTTACGCTAAAGAAACAGCAACAAAAAACAAAAATCAGTCACAGTGATGACAATAATGAAGATGTTTCTATAATTATTAGAGCACCAGGAAGAATATGAAAGACTACTGCAAAATGGCACAGTTGTACTCCTGAATATGATGAAAATTAAAAAAAAAAATAGTAATGCTAGATATTAATACTATACGAAGAGGTACGGTAGGGTCATGAATAGCGGTTCAGACTAAGGAATCAGAGAGCCGGGATCAAATTCCATTACGTGTTGATACCCTTGGCAGACCGGCTTAGCAACTGGTCTACCGCATAAAGAAATGCTGGAAAAAATCTGCCTCGTCAGTCATGTATCACGTATGGCACATAACTGATTGCAGGAGTCACGGTAGAGTAATGCAAGAATAGGAGAGCCGAGTTCGAATTCTAGTCGAATCCATTACATTCACTTATGTGCTTGGGAAAGGTATGAATCCTCTTCTCCCCACCCCCAATGTGGGTAAATAGCAGGACCGGGTTCTATAGCCTTTGATGGTAACTGGCCTGCTGCAGAAAAAAATCTGCCTCGTCAGTCATGTATCGAAAGATACATGATCGCTTAAGCATGTATCACGCATGGCGCATAACTGATTGACTTACTATACGCAAAATTATATCATTTAGCGGATAGCAAAAAGATTTTTGCTGATAAATTGATCAATATTTGACGAGTGTGATACTTGAAATTATATTTCTGATATGAGGTATTGTAACTATTTACATTGGTTGAAATAATCCCAAAAGTGACTTGACCCAGAGAGTTGTGAGTTCAATACCTGGCCACAGCAGAGGGAAACAAAAACTTGGAGAGTTGAGTTACTAAAGGGAAATAACTGAAACTGAGGTATCCGTAAGAGGCATGGCACGTGGAAGTAGAACAATCTACTCCCGTGGACTAAATAAAGGTTTCGGTACGAAATTCAAACGTATACCACCTGAAGAAGACCGAAGCGTACAACGGCCGAAACGTCGTGAATAGGGCAATAAAAATGAGGACAATCAATAGTCCGGACAATGTAAATAGTGTAAATAAAGCGATACGTATTATTAATTATGTGAGTAGGTATAGTGGAGTAATGGATAACGAATTTCAGTTCGAATTATATTCACTTACATTCTAATAACCTTGGGAAGGGTATGAATCCTCTTTTTTATCTATGGATGGCAACTGGTCTAGGAGAAGGACAACTCTGTATTCAAAACCTGCGGAGGGTCGTTTGGGGATCCTGTAGTACGTTGTACACCAGGTCTCTGTTTTTTCAAAAAGTGTGGTTAGTTCTGCACAAAGCCTTCACCACTATAATCAAATCATATGTGCAGGTGTTTGGCTGTTAGTTTTTAGGAATTGGGTTGTTTGGTCCTCAAACGTCGAAAAAAAAACGGGAGAGTTCAGTATTATTAATTATGATAACATACAATACTTATCGAAGGTCAACTCAGAATTTCGTAATTTTTCAATCCCTCATCGAAACTCTAAGACTTCTGTAGAATTACATCTCTGCTGATTCCCTTATATTCTTCCACTGTGAGGAAATTGACTGATATTTCTTTTTAATACTACATTGCGTAGTAAACTATTTACATTATTCAGACTATTGTCCGCATCTTTGTCGACATATTTATTAGAATTGTTTCGGCCTTTCAGTATCTGTCTATATTTCTGAGATGAGGTATTATATACACTATTTACATTATTCGGACTATTGTCCTCATCTTTGTCGCCATATTTATTACAACGTTTCGGCCTTTCAGTATCTGTCTATATTTCTGAGATGAGGTATTATATACACTATTTACATTATTCGGACTATTGTCCTCATCTTTGTCGCCATATTTATTACAACGTTTCGGCCTTTCAGTATCTGTCTATATTTCTGAGATGAGGTATTATATACACTATTTATTATTATTCGGACTATTGTCCTCATCTTTGTCGCCATATTTATTACAACGTTTCGGCCTTTCAGTATCTGTCTATATTTCTGAGATGAGGTATTATATACACTATTTACATTATTCGGACTATTGTCCTCATCTTTGTCGCCATATATATTACAACGTTTCGGCCTTTCAGTATCTGTTTATATTTCTGACATGAGGTATTATATACACTATTTACATTATTCGGATTATTGTCCTCATCTTTGTCGCCATATTTATTACAACGTTTCGGCCTTTCAGTATCTGTCTATATTTCTGAGATGAGGTATTATATACACTATTTACATTATTCGGACTATTGTCCTCATCTTTGTCGCCATATTTATTACAACGTTTCGGCCTTTCAGTATCTGTCTATATTTCTGAGATGAGGTATTATATACACTATTTACATTATTCCGACTATTGTCCTCATCTTTGTCGCCATATTTATTACAACGTTTCGGCCTTTCAGTATCTGTCTATATTTCTGAGATGAGGTATTATATACACTATTTACATTATTCGGACTATTGTCCTCATCTTTGTCGCCATATTTATTACAACGTTTCGGCCTTTCAGTATCTGTCTATATTTCTGAGATGAGGTATTATATACACTATTTACATTATTCGGACTATTGTCCTCATCTGTGTCGCCATATTTATTACAACGTTTCGGCCTTTCAGTATCAGTCTATATTTCTGAGATGAGGTATTATATACACTATTTACATTATTCCGACTATTGTCCTCATCTTTGTCGCCATATTTATTACAACGTTTCGGCCTTTCAGTATCAGTCTATATTACTGAGATGAGGTATTATATACACTATTTACATTATTCCGACTATTGTCCTCATCTTTGTCGCCATATTTATTACAACGTTTCGGCCTTTCAGTATCTGTCTATATTTCTGAGATGAGGTATTATATACACTATTTACATTATTCGGACTATTGTCCTCATCTTTGTCGCCATATTTATTACAACGTTTCGGCCTTTCAGTATCTGTCTATATTTCTGAGATGCGGTATTATGTACATTATTTACATTATTCGGACTATTGTCCTCATCTTTGTCGCCATATTTATTACAACGTTTCGGCCTTTCAGTATCTGTCTATATTTCTGAGATGAGGTATTATATACACTATTTACATTATTCGGACTATTGTCCTCATCTTTGTCGCCATATTTATTACAACGTTTCGGCCTTTCAGTATCTGTCTATATTTCTGAGATGAGGTATTATATACACTATTTACATTATTCCGACTATTGTCCTCATCTTTGTCGCCATATTTATTACAACGTTTCGGCCTTTCAGTATATGTCTATATTTCTGAGATGAGTTATTATATACACTATTTACATTATTCGGACTATTGTCCTCATCTTTGTCGCCATATTTATTACAACGTTTCGGCCTTTCAGTATCTGTCTATATTTTTCTGAGATGAGGTATTATATACACTATTTACATTATTCGGACTATTGTCCTCATCTTTGTCGCCATATTTATTACAACGTTTCGGCCTTTCAGTATCAGTCTATATTTCTGAGATGAGGTATTATATACACTATTTACATTATTCCGACTATTGTCCTCATCTTTGTCGCCATATTTATTACAACGTTTCGGCCTTTCAGTATCAGTCTATATTACTGAGATGAGGTATTATATACACTATTTACATTATTCCGACTATTGTCCTCATCTTTGTCGCCATATTTATTACAACGTTTCGGCCTTTCAGTATCTGTCTATATTTCTGAGATGAGGTATTATATACACTATTTACATTATTCGGACTATTGTCCTCATCTTTGTCGCCATATTTATTACAACGTTTCGGCCTTTCAGTATCTGTCTATATTTCTGAGATGCGGTATTATGTACATTATTTACATTATTCGGACTATTGTCCTCATCTTTGTCGCCATATTTATTACAACGTTTCGGCCTTTCAGTATCTGTCTATATTTCTGAGATGAGTTATTATATACACTATTTACATTATTCGACTATTGTCCTCATCTTTGTCGCCATATTTATTACAACGTTTCGGCCTTTCAGTATCTGTCTATATTTGAGATGAGGTATTATATACACTATTTACATTATTCCGACTATTGTCCTCATCTTTGTCGCCATATTTATTACAACGTTTCGGCCTTTCAGTATATGTCTATATTTCTGAGATGAGTTATTATATACACTATTTACATTATTCGGACTATTGTCCTCATCTTTGTCGCCATATTTATTACAACGTTTCGGCCTTTCAGTATCTGTCTATATTTCTGAGATGCGGTATTATGTACATTATTTACATTATTCGGACTATTGCCCTCATCTTTGTCGCCATATTTATTACAACGTTTCGGCCTTTCAGTATCTGTCTATATTTCTGACATGAGGTATTATATACACTATTTACATTATTCGGACGATTGTCCTCATCTTTGGCGCCATATTTATTACAACGTTTCGGCCTTTCAGTATCTGTCTATATTTCTGAGATGCGGTATTATGTACATTATTTACATTATTCGGACTATTGTCCTCATCTTTGTCGCCATATTTATTACAACGTTTCGGCCTTTCAGTATCTGTCTATATTTCTGAGATGAGGTATTATATACACTATTTAAATTATTCCGACTATTGTCCTCATCTTTGTCGCCATATTTATTACAACGTTTCGGCCTTTCAGTATCTGTCT